AAGCCGGGGTCGTTGAAGGATTGCTTCAAGGTGCCTGAAACGAGTTCGGGTTTGCGTTAATGCTTGAGACACTTTGGCTAGTGGACTCAAGTGAGGCGACAATCACGTGGCCCCGGATGCACTGCCCAAAGCGCGTTGGCATGCTTTAAAGCTAACGTCCCGTTGTTTGTTCCCCTTACTTCCGGCTGCCGTGCGATGTTTTTCACATTTATTTAAACATAACCGGCCATGATCTTGAGAAAAGTCCATGCACCTTCAGTTCACACAATCATGGCACAAAGAGCTTCAGGTGACACCTGTTGATCCAAGCGTATCCGAGCATGACTTGCAAACAAGTGTTGCTATTCGGACGCCTTTAAGATGCCGGAATCACGCATCCAGGTCCAATCAAACTAAGTACCTAAAAGGCCGCAGTACCTTGCCACGGCCCTGACATCACGGCTGCAGGCTTCAGCTGCAGGCTGCGGGAAGCTTTCGGCAGCTGTGACTTGCATGTGCAGATGGATCGGTTCCAGCTTACCGATGCTTGTGGGTTCTGATCCTTCAATCTGACATGCAACAGGCTGCGGAAGCAATAGCTATGCACAAAGCTGCAAATCCGATCACCTTCGTGCAGAGAGTCGTACCTTTACTTTAACTAATGCAAGCGTTTCATGGCAACTTTCAAGCGGAAAGTGATCAAACTTGTCGCAGGTGTTGTTGTCCTAACGGAGATCTTCAGCGCTGAAACCTGTGTCACCGTTCATAATTTGGCACGATCACATCTTCTAGTTTGCAACTTAGCGCGCTTGGGAAACCATGCCAGAAGCGCATATTGACTTTTTCGGAAACACCGCCTTTAATGCCGCGGACCTGGTGACATCATTTTTCTTGCCCATGGCTTGCAGACCAACTTCAAAGCTTTCATGCAAGCATTTGTGCAAGCCCTGTAAGATAGAAGCACTGGCAGACATGTCCCAGACTTGGCTTTCCTGGCTACAGCTTCCAAGTCAAAATGAAGCATATCTGGCTCAACCGCAAGATCTGCAAGGCATGTTGTCCTTCGGAGCATTCTCAAAGACCACCTGGCAGAACGTGTACATCCACGACCACGAGCGTGGCACTCTCGAAATCTGCTGAACAGGCTGTCGGAGGAATCACCAAGGCGAATTTGGCACGATCCGGTCTGTACACTGAAGGGTATGGACAGAATGTTCAGGACATATTAGGACAGTCTTTGCTGTTCAACATTTTGAGCACTTGCTTCTAGGTTACAAGTCGAATGGTAATTTCACCCATCGAAAAAGCCGACATGACCATAACTACTACTGCAAATGGTGGAGAGTGTCGGCGTTAGGGGGGATTAAGGGGTCTGCCCCGCTTGCCCCACTTGCCCCCCTTGCCCCACTTGCCCCACTTGCCCCACTTGACCCACTTGCCCCACCTGTCCCACTTCCGCCACTTGCCCACTTGCCCCGAACCGAGTGGAGCGAGTGGAGCGAGTGGGGCGAGTGGGGCGAGTGGGACGGGATTGTGTGAAGGCATGCGACACAGTCCTCACCAAGTCATTGTGCCAGAGTGTTTAGTCATCTCCACGTACATGGAAACTTTAGCTGGCCTCTGCTGCCTGTCTGGCACGAACTGAAGCTTCCACAGGTCCTGCAGCCGAACCAGGCCTTCAGTAGATCTGAGCAAGTGTAATGACTGCATGTCAGCGGTACTCCTGCGTCCAGCGATGGTGCCTCGGCCTGACTGGCATGGATGGTCAGAGGTACACAACGAGAACTCTGGATAGCCTGCGTCTCGAGGGGAGTTTCACCTGACAGGTGGCCAAGTCTTTGCTGCTATGTAAACATGTTTATATGAAGTATGTCATGTCTGGTGTACACAGCTATTTGCTTCAAGCTTTCGGCTAAGGTCACGTCGCTTAGTGCAAACATGTGTGCGCAACCGCCAGAAATTCAAAGGAACCCATGCGCCTTCCGGCCCCGGCGGTATCCGCCAGAAATAGAAAGCCACTGCCAGCACCTGGACGACGGCTTAGCACTCCAAGCACCCACTCTGACAAATACACCAAACCGGATTCAGAGCCCCGCTAGCGCCAGTCCGGCGCCCAGCTTTAGAGCCTGCGCTACGCCACCAAAAACAAGCTGTTGGTCAGTCCGCAAGAAGAAGACTCTTCCGTGCCTCTGAAAGGCGTGGCACACCTGAAGTGCCAGCATCGCCAAGTATAAGCAATTGTGTGCTTTCCTCCAAAAATTCAAGCACTTGGCCTGCAGGTTCCAAGGCTCCATGCTCAGGCTGCTTAGCATCGACCTCCGATCGCACAGCCAACAAACAACAGCAGAAGTTGCTCGGTGTGCAAAGCTGATGCCTGCTTTTGCCTTGGCGGATCACCTGGTGGCAGAACACATGCTTATTCTTTGTCTCTGAGACACCTCCTGCCAGACACATGGGCCTGCATGCCTTGCGTCAGGCATCTTTTCAGCGGGTTCTTTCCCTGCCGCGAGCCCAAAAGCAGTCTTGACGGGGCAGTGGGCTGGGATGGCGCTGAGATGCGCTGAGTGACGCAGGCTGCAAGCTGTCTGCTTTGTGTGGGTTGGCCTGGCATGCGTGGCAACGGTGCGCGTTTGGGCTCGGCTGAAGTCGGCTCTGCAGGCTGCGGTAGCTCTGCTTTCCTGCATGTCTCCAAGCATTCGCCCCAACACATATCACGGAATGGTACTTGAAGCATTGCATTGTATCAAGGTCTGTTTTGCAGGGCACCTTGCCGGAAGCGGCTCCTGAAGCAGCTGATTCTGGAATCCATATCATAATAAGCACATGCCTTCTGACTAAGCCCGCCGCCTGCTGCAGCTTCCACAGGGCAAGCCTCCGAGCTGTTGAAATGAACGACTGAGACCGCGCTCGAACAGACATGCAGCCTTTGGAAGCCAACACGTCAGCATTCAATTTTCAGGGCTTCCTGTTGCTATCAGCTAGCCTCGCTTATGTCGCACTGCATGACAAGGGGTCTGAATCTTCAATGCCTAGAGACATGTTGGCTCCTTGTTGGAATGCGACTGCATATGCATGGAAAGTCAAAATGCCCCCATATCACTAAGCTCGAAGCCCACACAAGCACAAAGAAGCGCCACCCAGTGCCCAATTGGTGTAGCCTTGCCAATGGTCACCAGCCCCAATGTGTGACAGGGGATCTGCAAGGCGTGCCGTCACTTAGCCGAGTAAGCTAAGTGATTATGGTAGGCATGCACGGCTAGAAATGTTGGCAAAATTGGCCTCAGCAATTGTTGCTGGACGTCTAGGTAAGCTGAATTGCAACTGACGTAATTTTGCGAAGATTCATAGCACGAGCAGAATAGGGACTGGCACTTCCCCTACATTGCCTGCCTGTCTGACCGGTCGCACGCGCACAGATGCGTGTCTGTTGCTTGGCAGTAGAACTAAAGTCTTCCCATGGCTCTCATGAACAACTCCTCCTGCCATTGGATAGCACCGGGTAATGTGCAGAATGAAAACACGAAACTACAAAGCTTTGGACGCCATCCTCTCTTTCCTTTCTCAATCTAGTGAGGTTGTGGGCCAAACAATTCACCTCTTGCTGGCACTGCCACTGGTAGCACGTTACGACCGTCTACGGCCAGGTAGCAAAAACACATGTGATTCGATGTAGACTAAGGATGCAGCGCCCTGGGTCGCTACTTGCAGAGATGAGCCCGTGTGCCTCAGATCATCACCAACTAAAACTACTTGTGCCGCTGATGATAGAACCTTTACAACGATGCCTAGACAAGGACCAGGCTTTGGCTTCCTGGCTGGCAGCCACTGCTGACATGATTCCGCCGTGTGGCGTCTGGCCAGGTCAAGGAAAATTCAGCTCTGCGCAATTCACAGTTCTGTTGTCACTACCTCACCACCCCATCCTCAGATCCTCTAATTGTGCCTGGCCATGGTCCAAAACCTATGGGAACAGCCGTCTTTCTGACAGGCGGTGCTGACCCAGATATGAAATGACAATCACGTTGGAGACACAGGTGTTCCTCACTTTATGACAACACCAACGCAAGCCTGACCCTCGCACGACACAAATGATCTGCGCGGCCTTGTCTCTCGCACCATGTCCTCATCGCGGATGTTTCAGGGTTCCATACCCAACATGGTCCAGTTGCTTGACGAATAGGCAGGCTTAGTGTGTCAAACAAGCCCACGCCACTTAGCTGCCTACCGGAGTCCAGGTTCAACTCCCGCAAATTCTCTTGCAGCTCGCTTATCAGAGCCTGGCTCAGCGCATAATAAGCGATAAAGCTATGACAAATGCTTGACCTCCATGACTCTCCAACATGTGATGCATGTAGGACACAAGACCTTTTGCAGTAATGAAATGTAATGAAAGCAGGATGTATTGTGATCTGCTCATCCATCCCACCTGTCGGGCCGATTCCAATGAAATCGCAGATCCATAAAGGTCAGTCCTTGGCTCTGCTTTGTCTCAGGTGGTCCAACATATCTGCAGAAACTCTTGCTTGCTTGCAAAGTGCCTCTTGAAAAATGTAACTTTTGCGGTACTGGCGCCACGTCTGTTGTGAAGCACTTTGCTTCCTACAAGCTTCCTGGTTCCATCACGTTTGAAAGTCAGGCCCTCCTGCGGCTTTTCTTTTCTCAAGTGAAACTCCTTGCCGGAGCTTGGACCCTAACATAGCTTCATCCAGTAGGTCTGCGCTTCATGCAGTGTCTCGCTGGGCTGTGTCATCAACGGAACAGCGTGCATTGACTTCACCCAGCAGCTGAAAGTCCAGCCTCTGGCCTTTCTTGCGCCTATCTCAGTGTGCCTGCTCGCCAAGCCGATAGGAATTCAAAGGGAAGGCGCTTCTCTGACCGCAGCAGTAGCAATCCAGGTCCAGGTTGTTGCCGGGCGCGAGGCTGTGCACGCCCTGCTTGGCCATCACAAATTCAACTGCAAGACTGACGTGGCGCTCCCCGTGAACCGATACTGCACCAATGATGGCCGCATCTCTGGTTCATCAATCCATTGTATCCAAGCCAGCCATGCCAGCCTGCGGCGCACGGGCATCCAAAGTCTTTGGCTGCATCTGCACCTTTGCGGGCAACACCTTCTGCTGCCGAGCTGGCTTGTCCGCCGTCAGTTCAGTTCGTGCGAGAAGCTCTGCCATTTTCGCCATTTTTTGTTCCACGGGTAGCTCTGGATCGATGCGGTAAAAAGCAGCCAATTTTGCAGGATCATTCGTGATCTCCTGAAACGCTTGAGATCCTTGTGAGTGCGAATTCCCCTGCAGCTGCTGCTTCAGCTCTGTGTAACTTTTGGCAGCGTGCGCATCAAAAACTTTTGCCACATCCAAATTGCTTTCGAACAAACTGGCTAACGAGGCTGTCGAGGTATTGTGGGATGTTCCTACCAGATCTTTTGCAAGCAAGATGCCTAGCACATAGTGGAGGGCAGTCCAGTGGGCGATATGAAATCTGGGAACTAGCAGTTGCACATGCCGTACATGCATGGATACCATCTTGACCAAACGCTGGTATATTTCCACTTTCACATCGGATGCCAACGATGCAGACTTCCACAGCAACAGAGATCCTATGGGAATGGCAACAAGCAGTGATTCCTGGATGGCATAGTGACCAGGAACCAAATGAGGAAGCCTTCCAGCCTGTGTCCATTTGTCTATGAAATGCTGGAACCGTCGGAACGCAGAAAGCAGCTCCTCGGCTGATGCGCTTTGTCGAGCCGCGGGATCCTCGAAGTGTCCCCGGAGCTCTTGGAGCGTCGCCCTCTCAGATACCCAACTGTTAAGCCCTGCAGAAGTGCCACAAAAACTTCGGTGCGCTTGCCATCCCTGCCGCTGGCATGAACGTGAACAGAAGTACACAACCTTGCATCCGCTGCACTTCTGCAGGTCCGTAGCTGCCCTCAGGCAGCGCAAGCAGTCCTGCGAATGCCGACTTTCATGCAGACATCCGCGCAGGATGGTTTTGACACGGATCGACCCTTGATGCACCTCCTGCACAATTCCTATTGCCCCAGCCAACTCGTTGTGGCGAAGCACTTGAACAAGGTCATCTGGATGCAGTGTGGACATAGCGGCATTGTTGCAAGTTTGACACCGGGGATAAGGTCTTTCCAGCAGCAGTTGCAACCCGACTTCTGCAAGAATCTTGTCATCTGCTTCCAAGTGACCTTAGCTTTAAACTTCAAAATCATGCTGTGTGCAGCAGCACTCGTGTAGCTGTTACGCTGCCGATATCAATGGCTTATCTTACTATGTCCATGGATGCGACATGCATGTCTACTTTAAGTTGCAGGAGAAACAATGTCAACTGCAATGCTCAAGGTAAAGCGTGCGGCTGAGGACAAATTGTGAAGTGCATGGGCCACAATCGGTGCTACAGGGCCTGGGTCACACACCGTCCAATCACCTGAATGCTGAATCGGGCGAAGCCTGTGCTGTAGTCAGGGTTGCGCATGGTGGGGTTGGCAATTTCAATTTTGCAGCATCCTTTACTGGATTGGCATGGATCCGTACCCACGCACAATTTGAGCAACATTGCACCGGGCCTCTGGATCATGTTGAGGGGGCACCCTCTGGATGAGCAGGCGGATGGCAGGGAGAGAAGGATTCAAAAACGTGGGAGAACTTGAAAAACGCTTCATCACTGCAGGGCTCGCAATTGCTTGCACACGAGATGCAATGGCCGTGCCAGACTTGCCAGCATGGATAATGCACAAACCACGTAGACTTGCAGCTAAATCACAGCGAGAACATCCGCAGCTGCCCCCGCAGTGGGAGCGGATGCGCTGTTCTCTGGCTTGTGGTTCGGCAAAAAGCTCGTGATAGGACAGTCGCAAGGGCTCTCCAGCCTGTGCCACGGACAGCGAGAGCATCCGTTGCAAATCAGCAGACTGCGGCGTGCCTGAATGTCACGAATGGCAATCAGCTTCACTTCGAGGTCATCGTCAATGGGACGGTCTCCAGTGCTGAGGATGGAAAAGCCTTGGCTGAACACATGCAACCCTGAACCGACCAACGTGCATGACCTGATGCTCTGGAAGTGTCATGACATGGACATACTTGGAGAAGTGGCAAACATTCTCCTCCATGCTGGCCGCACAGGCGTGGTTCAGCATTGAGAAAGCGTTGAAACCGATTACTTTGCCTCGCGCATGCACCAACCGTAGAACCATGGCTACCATGAGTCGTAACAAGCAGAGCCTTGGAAGAGAAAGCTGTTGGTTTCAGCTTCGAGAACAAAAGGCTGCCCAGCTGTGGCCGCCTCGACCTGACAGCAATGATGCCTTCCATGCAAGTTGTGCAACAATGATTTGAAATTCCGGCAAGGATTTGCCTGTGGCAGCCCATTGCCAAGCTCATAGGATGATGGAAAGAGCAAAGACGCAGGATTGAGGCGGCCATTAAACTTGCGCCTCTGCAGCGGCCAGATTCTCTGCGCCTCGCAAGGTCGATCGTGACATAGGGCTAGTGCACAACCTGCTGCAACCCGTATATACGACCATGACACGACCACAACTGCAAGTGCCAGTGATTCATACTCCTGTCGGGCCTCGAAGCAGTGCAAAATCCCTAGACCGCCGGGCCATTTCAGAGGCCAAGTGAGCCACGCTCGAGCGCACGATGGGCTTCTCAATCAGCAGAACCTCTGCACTGTGCGCGGCATTTAGCCCCTCAATCCATCGGTATTTCTTGAGCAAATTCCTTGTCACACCTGGTTTCCAAGCCCAAGAGGATCCAAGAGACCACGTTCGGTTCAGGGCTGCTTTACCCATGCCAGGGTGCGAGTGAAGGTGCCTTGTACCGCGCTGAAGTGTGCATTTAACACCTTTAGATGCAGATGACTCAACATTGGCAATGCTTGTATAACACCCCGGCTTGCGGCTTCTTTGCGGAAGCAGATGATCCTTGTGCTTCGCAGTGGTACTGACTGTGCTTTTGTTCGGGCCATGCTGACCTCACGGTGTCTCTGAGTGCGAACCCGTCCTTCGACTAGCAGCAAGGTACTCTCAAAACAGGAGGACCTTGTCATTTTAAAACACAACCTTCCATCTACAAGACCTGGCCCTGAGGACCCGCCTAAAACTGCTTCAAGCATTGTGGCAAGTCACAGACCCTGCTGGAAAGCTTCTCGCAGCTGCAAGGCATCGTCCCTGCCCAGGTTTGTGGAGGGATTTAACCAAACACTGGCCTGGCACGGCTATGTACAGCCTCATGCTTAGAGAGCTCTGCCAAGCGAAGGCCAGCACTCTCGATCTCCGCAAGGCCAACTGGCATTGCTCCAACTAATGCGCAAGTCGCAGCTTACTGCGATGTTCTAGAAGTATCCAACTAATTATGCGCTAGCAACTGTGGCTACCTGCTGAAAGGCATGGTATAGTACAAGCAGCATGGGGATTCTGAGCCCTGAAAAGCTACGGCCATGCTACATTCCTCAACTTCGCCAGAACCGAGATCCGAGCCGCAAATGCTGCACAAACCCCAAGCCCTAAACCCCGAAGGCCAGCACCTTAAAATGTCCGCAAGCAGCCAAACAAGTTCCGCATTTGTTGGAGGCACTGGCTTTACCAGTGCGCTCTTTGCAGCTCTTAACCACAGCAGCAAGTGCACCTGAATCTCATGCTGTGAGGAGCAGGCTTTAAGCCCCACTTCTGCTTGATGTTCAGGAGGTCCTGCCACGCTCAACAGATCCGAAGCATGTTTGGGCTCAGGCTGACCATTTGTGACAAATGCGCAAATGCTGGGTGCCTGCTTCTTGGCAGATCGCGCCAAGCTCGACTCAAGCGCATGTAAATCCTGTGAAGCATCTGTGAAGCTGAAGTGGTGTCAGCTTCATAAATCTGTGGATGCAGAATCAATTTAGGAGTTTTTTTTGATTTTTTTTTTGGCTTGTTTTCATGGAAAGTCTCAGGTGAGAGCTTGATTTGACAATCAAAGTCAGAAAAACATCAAGGAGGAGCTCGTTTTTGCATTTCAAATGTGTGAAATCTCAGGCGACAGCTTGATTTTGGATTAAAAATGTGGCGACAGCTCGAGTCTGCAGCCAAAA